CACCAGCTATACCTCCTCTGATAGTATTAACCCACCAGCTATACCTCCTCTGTTAGCATTAACCCACCAGCTATACCTCCTCTGTTAGTATTAACCCACCAGCTATACCTCCTCTGATAGTATTAACCAACCAGCTATACCTCCTCTGTTAGTATTAACCCACCAGCTATACCTCCTCTGTTATTATTAACCATGCGTCTAAAGCCTTACACACACAATCGCCTTTACGCATACGCTGCTACAAGGAGTGTCTGTGTTGTGCTATTTGAAGATGCTACTACATGTGTACACGTATGATATGGTTACACATGTGTACACATGTGATATGGTTAAAAATGTGTACACTATGTTGTATAATATGGTTACACATGTGTACACTATGTTGTATGATATTGTTATGAGACGCAGTGTCCCGAAGTTTCTTGTTTCATCCGTGCGAACAGATTTAGGAGTAATTCAAGACGTTGTGGTTTGTACGTGCTGATGGCGTCGAAGGCTGGTGGGTCGCATGCGATCTTTTATGCATCACTGTTTGTTTGCTTGTACTCTTATCACTGTTTGTTTTTGCCTATGACATTACTGGGGCGTTTTAATTCGAACACGCTCGCTGGGAGTCAAAGATTCGACACTAGTTATTTTGAATGGGGTATTCACGCTCTTTGCTAAGGTTTTAGGGTCTAGGGTTATTTCTTTGCTAGCTGACCTATGTATCAAGAATGTGTGTGCCAATACCCCTGATGCGCTCAATATCTGTGTGCTGACTTCTGCTGCACTTTCCATATATATGTTCGTGTATATATATATATATAGGATCCCATGATAGGGCTGCTGCTGGTGTCTGTGCTGGTGAGCTGTCTGCTACAGCAGTGGGATGATGCCATATCCATCATGCTAGCGGTGGTCATTGTTGTGAGTGTGGGGTTTGTGCAGGAGTATCGCAGCGAGCAGTCGCTTCAGCAGCTTAACCGACTGGTGCCACACCGCTGCCACGCCATCCGCAACGGCACGAGACAGGATGTGCTGGCCAAGGAACTGGTGGGTCAGCCACGCGCACAGGCAGCACTCACAGGCTGTGCGTGTGTTTAATAGAGTGTTTCAGGAGTGTTTTTCTGAGGCTGTGTGTGTGTGCGATAGAGTGTTTTAGGAGGGTTGTTCTGAGGCTGTGCGTGTGTTCGATAGTGTTTTAGGATTGTTGTTCTGAGGTTGTGCGTGTGTTCAATAGAGAGTTTTAGGAGTGTTTGTTTGTCCCATGTTTCTATACAGCATGAGTGAGCTTGATGCCTCTGGCATATGTAGTGTTCTTGGCATTGCTTTAATACTACCATTATTGCTTTAATACTACAATTATTGCTTTAGTACCACCATTATTGCTTTAGTATTACTATTGTTGCTTTAGTACTACCATTATTGCTTTGGTACTACCATTATTGCTTTAGTACTGCCATTGATCATTGACGTGTATTGTGGCTTCTCTCCCGTGCTGTGTAGGTGCCAGGTGATGTCATTGTGTGTTCTGTTGGTGATCGTATTCCCGCAGACTGTCGCATCATCCACAGCGCTGAGCTGCAGATTGATGAGAGCTCACTCACAGGCGAAACCCACTACGCCTCCAAGACAACCGATGCCATCCACGGCCCTAGCGGTATGTGTCTAACTGTGATGTGCATGGTCGTTCTTGTCGTCGTGTGAGTGTTTTATTGCGTGTACGTATTTCAGTGGTATGTGTGGTACTGTGATGTGAATGGTCTTTCTTGTAGTCGTGTGAGTGTTTTATTGCGTGTACGTATTTCAGTGGTATGTGTGGTACTGTGATGTGCATGGCCTTTCTTGTCGTCGTGTTAGTGTTTCATTGCGTGTGTGCTCTTGTGCTTGTGTTGTAGGGATTAAGGCTTATGCTTGCTGGTTTAAACTAACACCCTCCTCCTCTCCTCTCCTCTCCCCTGTGTACTGCTAGACGGTGAAGTGGCCATCGCCGATCGCAAGAATGTGGGGTTCATGGGCACACTTGTGCGCAATGGCAATGGACGTGCAGTGGTCGTGGGCACAGGCGAGCGCACTGAGTTTGGAGTGGTCTTCCACATGATGCAAGAGACAGAGGAGCGCAAAACGCCCCTGCAGGTGTGTATGGTGAGGTTGTACTTGCTACTGTGGATGATAGTCAGTTGTCTGTCGCCTATAGGCATGGTCAGTGCGATGATCTATCGTTCAGGTGTGTTTGGTGCGGTTGTACTTGCTACTGTGGATTATAGTCAGTCGTCTATCGCCTATAGGCATGGTCAGTACGGTGATCTATCGTTCAGGTCTGTGTGGGTTGGGTGTTAATCACAGACTTGCCAGTGGGCCTGTGTTTCCTATGAATGTTGCATGTGTTTTCAATGAGGTATTATTCGCAGCACATAGTCGAGAAGATTTATTGTGGACGTGTGGCTGTGCGTGCACACACTCGTGTCAGGGCATATTCCTACTGACCATTACACAGCCAGCTGGCCTTCTAGTGTTTTAGGGTTTAAGGTTTTTAACGTTTCGTGTGGGTTCGTTGTGCGCAGATTATTATGGATGACCTGGGTAAGAAGCTCAGCATCATGTCGTTTGGGATCATAGGCCTTCGAGTGTTTTAGGGTTTGTAACGTTTAGTTTGGGTTCGTTGTGCGCAGATTAATATGGATGACCTGGGTAAGAAGCTCAGCATCATGTCGTTTGGGATCATTGGGCTGATTACGCTGCTGGGCTTGTTCCATGGCAAGAACATTTTTGACATGTTCACCACCGGAGTGTCGTTGGCTGTGGCGGCTATTCCCGAGGGATTGCCCATTGTGGTCACTGTCACATTGGCGTTGGGCGTCATGCGCATGGCCAAACGCAACGCTATTGTCAAGAAACTGCCCATTGTGGAGAGTCTGGGCAGTGCGAGTGTCGTGTGCGCCGACAAAACAGGTGCGTATTATGCAACTGCGCTGTAAGTGAACTGTTGGTGTGTTGGTAAGGCTATGAATTGTGCTGTAAGTGAACAGTTGGTATGTTGGTTGGGCTATGAATTGTGCTGTAAGTGAACAGTTGGTGGGTTGGTTTAAGTGAACAGTTGGTGTGTTGGTTTAAGTGAACAGTTGGTGGGTTGGTTTAAGTGAACAGTTGGTGTGTTGATTTAAGTGAACAGTTGGTGTGTTGGTTTAAGTGAACTGTTGGTGTGTTGGTAGGGCTATGAATTGTGCTGTGTGCAGTTGTCCAGGGGGTAGTGGTTGTGCAGAAGGGAAGGTGTAGTACCCACCCCGTCGGTAGTGCGTTTTGTCATGTTTCTGCGGACATGTGTAGTTTAGGGTTTAGAAGTTGTGCTGTTTGTTGTGGTGTTCTTTAGTAGTGCGACATGTGATTGGTGTTTTAGGGTTTAGGGTTTGCTTTATCAAATATTGGGTCGGGTGCGTAGAGTGTGAGAAATAGTACCGAGTGCTGTGATATTTCACAGATAACGAAAAGTAAGGCTGGTGAGTGGTTCAGGGTTTAGGGTTTAGTAAGGCTGGTGAGTGGTTCGTTCAGTGATATCGACGAGTACACATTTCGTATCGATCGGAAGATGAATTTGCAAACAGTCACAATTGGGAGAAATTTAGGCCAAACGTACAGTCAGGCGCTAGCACTGCTTTGAAGATGGTGTTGTTTGTTTTGTCGTGGTTGGTGCCGTAGTTGTGTGGTGTAGTTTGTGTACTAGTTCATGTGTTGTTTGTTTGTTTGTTTTTCGTTTTGGGCCGTGCACCCGTCTCGTATCGGGTGTTGTGCGTTGTCTGTATTGTACCGAACATCTCTCTATTCAGCTGCCAAATCAATTGCAGTCCTTTTGCGTCAGTCCTTCCGTATGCCTAGGCTCCGCATGCTGGGAGAGCGTTTGCCACGTGCACACATCACACTCAGTCATCTTAAACCTGGTTTGGCGTTTCGTTTGTTGTAGTATCGTGCTCTGGGCGTTTACGTTTGTTGTGCTAAGTGCTGACTTGCTGGTCCTGTGCGTGGGGGTTTCATTGCTATGCCACACCACTGATTGCGGTTGTTTTAGGGTTTAGTGCGGTTGATTTTAGGTTTGGCGCGGTTGATTTAGGGTTTTTAGGGTTTAGTGCGGTTGCTTGAGGTCATTACTGATCGCCGCACTGTTGATTTATCTCTGGAATAGCTAAACGCTTTATCTCTGGGATAGCTGAGCCAATGGTTTGTTTCCTTCATGTATGATTGGGTGTCTCATTTAGGAACGCTTACGCAGAATGAGATGACTGTGAGTCTGATGTATTCGCATGGATCGCAGAAGGTGACTCGCGTGACTGGTGTGGGCTACCTTGGCAGCGGCAGCATGGAAACACTACAGGTGAGCGATATGCTGCATAGACACTTGGAGTGGATGCATGTGGCAACGATGTATATGTATATGTATGTGTATGTGTATGTGTATATGTATGTGTATGTGTATGTGTATATGTATATGTGTATGTATATGTATATGTATATTTATACGTATTTGAATGTTGTAGCTCATCTAGTTTCAGTAGTGGAAGGGTGATGTATGCGTATCATCTATCCGTTCCTGTTTAGCAGTCAAGTGCTGCTCATTAACATCAGCACTGATATTATATCTAGTGTAGTACTGCTGTTGCATCTAGTGCAGTTTCTGATTGCATATCATGTTGTGTAGTACTGACACTCAATGGAAGTGTGGTGGGTGGTGTGGCCTTCGTCTCAGGTGTTCTCTTGTGATTGTTATGCCACTGCGTGTGTGTCGTGTGTTGATAGTATTGTCGTGTGTTGATAATATTGTCATGTGTTGATAGTATTGTCGTGTGTTGATAATATTGTCATGTGTTGATAGTATTGTCGTTGTTGCTTGTCTAGGCAATCATACTTCTTGGGCATGTCCGTCTCACTATCAATTGTCTTTATGCTCATGTCAGGGCGGCTCTCTCACTCAAAGTGAAAACAAAGACATCGAGCGTGTGTTGGAGATCAGTGTACTGTGCAACAACTCTCACGTCACCGCCAACACAGTGCTGGGCCAAGCCACAGAGGGAGCGCTGTTGGTGGCAGCGCTCAAGTTCTCTCTCCCCGATCTGAGAGGTATGCAGAGGCAGCAGACGACTGTGGCGTTGCTTGTATATATATATATGTGTGTGTGTGTGTTTGTGTGGATATGTAGTTGTGTGTGTATATGTTTGTATATATATATATATATATATATATATGTCTGTGTGTATGTACGTATGTATGTATGTATGTGTGCGTGTATATTATATATATATATGTATGTATATACCTTTATGTCTATGCATCTATGTATCTAATTTTGTATTGCATGCACTTGCAGACATGTATGAGCGGATTTCCGAAGTGCCCTTCACATCGGTCACCAAGTGGATGGGCGTGTGCTGTCGGCGAATTGGTGACAATGGCTCAGGCGCACACTACGTCAAAGGAATGCTGGAGGCTGTGTTGTCTATGAGCACTACGTTCTACCGCGACGGCGCTCGCGTGGCACTGACGCACCAAGACCGCAATATGATTGCGAGAGGTATGGCATCTGAACACACAAACCCTAAACCCTAAAACCCATGCACGACAATGCAACTGATAAGATAAGCGTGTGTCGCATGTCGTTGGTAGGCCACAGGTATTGGTAGGCGGGGGTGCATTTGTTTTTGGTTATCTTGGCCGTGTCACAGGTTGTATTGATGCATCCAAAGGCATCTAAAGACATTTCAGGACATCTAAACTAAAGACGTTTAATGAAGTCTTTTGTTCTATTTATAACTTCTAAAGACATTTCAAGACATCTAAACTAAAGACGTTTAATGAAGTCTTTTGTTCTATTTATAACTTCCTCAGAGGCCCAGAAAATGGCGAGTGATGGGCTGCGTGTGCTGGCCACAGCTTCAGGCGAAAATCTAAACGCGCTGTGCTTTGCGGGGTATGTGCATCATCTGTAACTGTCAAGTCTTTTTCTAGCTGTCAGCCTATGTCTACATCCGTGACTGTTTGTTTGTGTCTACATCCGTGACTGTTTGTTTGTGTCTACATCTGTGACTGTTTTTCTGCGTCAACATCTGTGACTGTTTGTCTGTGTCTACATCTGTGACTGTTTGTCTGTGTCTACATCTGTGACTGTTTTTCTGTGTCCACATCTGTGACTGTTTGTCTGTCTACATCTGTGACTGTTTGTCTGTGTCTACATCTGTGACTGTTTGTCTGTCTACATCTGTGACTGTTTGTCTGTGTCTACATCTGTGCCTGTTTTTCTGT